GCAATCCACTACAGATCATCATATTCAAAGAAGGAATTTGCATTAACAATTTCTGTACGATTTCATGTTTACTTCACGAACAATTTGACTGAATACACTGGTACATTCCTCCATATGCTCACATGTTTAAACCAGGACAGCTTGACTTGATTACAAACTGTCTCATTCTGAATCATGTAAAGATGGTCAGCTGTCCATGGAAAACCTGGTACACCCACTTGCTCTTTCTTCAGTGCTCCCGTTGCTCATGGAAAATCAATATTTGTTTTATTTCTGTCCCTTTGCACTCTTTTCCATGTGTGTTTGGTTTCTGTCACAGCCACCAGTAAATATGGGAACAGCTCAAATTGTGTGGGATGTTATTGCACCTCCTCTGCTGACTGAAGGGTGACTCTTGGAAGAAGAAAGGACACCCAGCTATGTGAGCCTCAACCACTGAAGGTTGCTTTAACTGAGTTTAACCTCTCCAATAAACCAGATTATTTAAAATTAAACCCTCAAACAAGTCACCATTTGCAATGTTGATGATGCTGATCACATTATGCAGATATTATCTAGTTCAAGACTTGTTAACTGTATCAGATTTACTCCTGGACAAGGGTTTGAGCCCATGGATAGTAAAAATTTCAAGGCCAAATATGTGTTCACCCAAGTTAATTTTCTTTTGACCTCAACACAACATTGAAGAAAATGTGTAAAGAAAAGTAAGTGAAAACCAAACTAGCTGAAGCATGGGAACCAGAATATCTGTCAATGGTTCTGAGTATCATAGATTCACAGAATGGGTGAGGTTGGATGGAATCACTGGAGATCATCTGGTCCAACCTTCCTGGTCCCCTGGAGCACGTATTCAGGACGTCCAAAGAGCTTTTGAATATCTCCAGGCAAGGAGGCTCCAGAAGCTCTCTGGGAAACCTCTTCCAGAGCCCAGTCACTGTGTTCTCTCTACATTTTTACCTTCCCATTGCTTAGGTTGTAACAATGACCAGGGCTCTCCTCCTGGTGCCAGACTTCAGAGAGACCTTTTGAAGCTCTTCATTTCCTTTCTGCACACAGTCAAAGAGGTCACTGTTGAGCCAGACTTTCTACTTAAAGGACTAATAAAACAGTTCTAGCAGACACCAAAGAGTGAATTAATTTCTACCAGGTCCAGAGAGGTTTCTCTGGAGGAGGAGAGAAAGAAGCACAGGAAGGTGTGAGCGTGGGGCAGCCTCAGTAACAGGATAACACCTCTTTGATTCCCCAGGGAAGGGAGGTGTCTTTGCAGCCCTTTCACCTCTAAGCAGTGAGAAGAGATTCATTTGAACATGACAACATCACACATGCCAATAGTGGATCAGTAGGCAGTTTCCTTCTTACCTTCACTATATGTTCATGTACCAAGTAGTAAAGCAAGGCAAAAGCACTGCAGCTCCTCAGATATCTTCCAGGGATTCATTTGAAAGAGATGTTCCATCAAATTTGCACATTATCCAGCTACAAAGAAAGGACATTTGTGTGTGCAGGCATTCTGGCAGGAGCTATTTGCTTCGGGGCCAGATGTAATTCAAAGTTATTCTAAATATTACACTGCAGCGTCTTAGCCAAGCACAGTAATGCTGATTATTAGGGTTTTCCTGGTTTTCCAGATGGAGCTGATTTCATTTAGTTCTCTCTCTTGTAATTAATAACTTGTCCCTTTTGTTCATTTTGAATCTTTGTCTCATCTTCGGCATTTTGTGGAATAGTATCCAATTTCCTCAAACCATTGCTTTCCTCCTCGGTTCACATAGCAGAGCTCATTCAGCCATACAGTTTAATGATGTGCAGCTCAAACCTCTGCTGCACAATCTCACATCCACTTCACATTGAGCTGGCATTTTTGTCATTTATATTTTATACGCTATAAACTAACAAATCATACCATTTCATACTAGAGCAATGTCAATAATCTTTTTTTTTTTTTTTACAGAAAGAAACCACCAACGAGCCACTAGCAAGCATATGGGATCTGTACGTTCTGTCCTTTAAACAAGTGCAGATTTAGCAAGGAGGGGGAGGGAAAAGGAAGAGAACGAGAGCCACGTCCCCCCACTGCCAACGCAATGCATGTTCCTGCAGCACCAGTATTTGGATTAGGCCCATGGCCACCCTACTTATGTTTCAAATAGGCAAAAAATAGATGGAATTCAATTCCCCGCTGCCAGTTTTTAGCAAGATTAGGCTTGTGCACACAGAGGAATTTTTTTAAATAGCCTTCACATGGGACCAGCTCTTTGCATTGAGAGTGTGCTCATAAATGGGATATCAGATGTCAATAAATGATGAGTGTTTACTCTGCAGGCATATTACAGACTTGTGTAAAATGTTCTATAGGTAGCTAAACACTTACTGGTTACAAACAGGGTTCCACACAACAGCACAGATTAACCAGATTGTGTCTTTTGTGCTTTTAGTTCCTAGCATAAGGCATGGCTCAGTCCAGGAGTGGGATCCTAAGTATACTTCCACAATTTAAGCAGCAAATATTAATCTACTAGAGCATATAAACAAATAATTAGTTTGAAGTGTGTAGATGAAGCGGGCTTGCACACAGGGGCTGGATGCTGGAGTACAGCTGTGTGTACGTGCACAGTCCCACACTTCCCGCTGAGGACGGGCAGGGATGTCAGTGGGTCCCTCTAATGCTGCTCTGCACAGAGGGGAGTTGAACCACTGACCACTGGGAGCCATACAGCAAAATATCTGTGATATCACAGCTCTGACCCCAACATCAGTGGGACAGTCACCTCCCCCGGCTGTCTGTACAGTGTTGAAAAATGATGTGGGGGTGCCTGGGCTTATGCTGTTGTTCCCAGGGAATGTGGGTGGATGGTTGTTCTATATTTTCTTTTCTTTTGTCCTCCAAATACTTAGAGCATCTGGGACTCCAGTTATTGTATATTTTAAAGCCTTTGTTTCTTTATCCTTCATGCTGCACCGTGACACTGAATGTTTCAAATGAATGAAAAGCCCACAAAAAGCCTATTTTAAAGCTCATCACAATTCGATGCTTGTCTTTCTCTGGGACCACTTTGGGCTTTTTATAATAGAATAATGTCCAGGAGGTCACAACAGAGAGCACTGCACATGACTGAATATTAACTTTTAATAGAGTGCATTTTGCTCAGGAGCCGATTACAGCCTTCATGAGGCAAGAGCAATGCTAATCCTGGAAGGACTCCTAAAAATCTTTCATAAGCTGCATCTAATTAAAAGAAAATGAAATACGCAAGAGTTGATGCACGAGTTGTACATTTGTGCATCCCACTCAATGAATGAATCATTTCCCTGCCTTCTCTGACACAGAAATACCTTGCAACCCATTAAAGATCTTAAATATTTTTACATGTCTGATGGTCACCACAAGCCACCCAGGACATGGCCACTGAAGTCCAGAGCTGAGCTGGTGTAACTACAAGTGCTTCTGTGATGATTTGCATGGAGGATGCACCCAGACAACAGACTGTCTACATGAGGACATGGTTGTCTGTATCATTGCTAAGGCAGACATCACCCAAACTGCTGTTAAATTCGCAAGGTGGAATTTTTTTTGCATTTCCATATCCCCTCATAACACATATGTGCTGCTGGAGCAAATCTCAATCGATGCAACTCTACCAACGGTGTCACTTCATCACGGGAACAGCACATGTCCTCACATAGGCCCAGCTGTTACCAGTCACCCCAGTCCTGGTACTGGTAGAGAGCCACAGGGAGCCAAGATCCAAGTGGAAGGTGAATGACAAGGTGGATGGGTGTGAGTGGGTGGAATGGCAGGTGGATCTGGTGTCAGACTGGGCTGCAGCATGGGACCAACCAGCCCCTGGCACAGAGCACAGTCCTGCTCCTCCCCAGCGCTCAGGGAAGGGCAGATTCCCATTGCAGACCTGCAAAGCAGAGCAGCCCCGAGGGCACACACGCCTCGTACTCCAGTGTGCTGGGAACCTGTCAGCCTCACTCATGTCCCTGTAGAGGGCTGGGGCTGGGGTTAGATCACCAGCTTTCCCACTGGATTAACACAAAGCTTTGCAGCTCTGCCGGCACCATGCCTGCGCCTGTCAGGATCTATCAGACAGCCAAGGCTTAACAGCTAATAGAGTAACAGAGTGAAGAGAATAAAATTACCCCTTTCTGAAATAGCCAGAAACACCCTAGCTAATGCTGAACACAGCTTATTATTTTACAGAAGGGAGGCTACTGCCCTGTTGGGGGCTGCATGCTGTGGGAAGTGCCCTGGCTGCAGTGGACTGTCCAGAGCTGAAGGGGAAGAGTGGTTCCCATCCCAATTGCCAATCATGGAATGGGGTTCGGGGCACTGAAACAACTGGGGTGGACCAGGAACACTTAAGGGGCAGAAAGAGGGGGTTGTGAAATAAATGGCAGTGCAGTGGCTGTTTCCCTTTGCTGCTGATCCCTCAAAATGTCATTGTCATCTGAAGGGTTGAGGGAACAAAGAGAAGGTTGCTCAGGTTTTTGTGCCCTCAGGCTCGAGTTTTTTAAATGTATATTTTTAATGTGCAATGATTTAAAGTAAGTCAGGATGAATGGTTGCTTTCACCTTTTTATCAAGTCCAGCAGGTCATGGTCAGACAGACCCCACAAGTCACTCAGCTCCTGCTATGATCCTCACATGTGTCCTCACATGGCCTCCAATGGCTCTGCGCCTGCGCTCCCCACCCATGTGTGCATCAACGTGACCCCCTCCAGGCATCAGGAGTCAGCTGGGGCCATCACATGGTGGCTGTAGTCAGGCCAGAGGGAACATGTGTCAGACCACAACCACAACCACAGCAGGCAAGTTCCTAGATCTGCTTGTCACCACCAGTTCTGGCCCATCCTCCCATGTCCTCCTTATAAACCACTGCAGAATCAGAAAGCAAATTCACAGCATGTAAATCAAGCTTAGAAAGATTAGAAGCCTCCTCTCTCTTGAACTCATGTTAGTTATGGAAAAAACGTGCTCAGAGCCAACAGCTGGAGTTTAACAATTTATTCCAGGGGTCAGTGAGTGGGGAGGAGGGTGATGCTCAGTCTCAGCAGGCCATGGCTGGCAGGGTGAAAGCTCAGCTAGAAGTAGTTGACAACTCTCCTGATGGACTGGACGCTGGCGCTGCGCGCCTGCCACTCGTTGAAGCTGCTGAACTCGCCGCGCTCCACCACGTACATGCGGCCTCGGTAGTTGGGCTCCTCGTACAGCACCCACCTGGGCACAAAGGGAGGGTCACCAGGGTCCCAGAACTGTGCTAGTGCCCTGCTCTGAGGGGCTGCTTTTAGGCACTGCTGTACTGCAAACCACCAGGGCCTGATTCCCAGTCCCATCCTGCACATAGAAATGCTCCTGGTGGAGTTTACTGTGGGTGCTTCCCCCTCCACCCCAGCTTGGCCTGGCAAATACCCACAGCCAGATTGGACCTTGCCTTTGGAAGATGTTTTGGGTTACACCACCAATAAAGCCTGGGCCCAAGGGCTCCCTGCTTCACATTACTGTAGGAATGGATCTCTCTGAGCTTCACTGTGTGCAACAGAAACAATTTAATAGCATTTTATAGTGCTAAAGAAGGATATGAGTCCCCTCAGCCCCTGCATAAACCACTTTTTTAGGGACTGTAAGGAGAAATATGCAATGCTTGATGGATGTTCTGCCTCTTTGAACTGATTCATTAGCAGTGATGGGAACCATATTTAGTAATTTCTCTCTTTGTTAGTAATTCTTAACAGCTTCTTTGATGCTTTCCAACAGAGAGCAGGGCTTGGCTTGGTTATCTTTATCTCTATCCAGAGTTAATGACAACTTTCCCTTGGAATGCAGTCAAATGTATACAACATTCAATAACCTTGGTGACTTTGGCATGCCTGATTTCTTCACCTGGCTTGGCTACATCATTCTCCATCACCCTGGCTTGTGACATGTCTTTCTCCATTTGAAGGTCAGGTCAGGAACAATTCTGATAGTCAAGAAGGTCAATTTTGCTGATTTTCTCTCCATTCACTTCATATGATCTTACTGTGGCCACAAGTGTCACCCCTGTCCTCTGTTTGAGTCTCCCATGCTTCTCAACCAAATTTTGCCATTGCTCTGAGTTTTACAGACAGGTTTCCACCCTGTCATTGCTGAGTTGCTCATCTCTGCCTCTTTCCTCTTATATTTTTTTAAGGTTTTATGAGGATTTCTGCTGCTTTTCCCATCTATTTGTTCAGCAATGACAGCAAAGCAGAAATGCAGTCCTCCAAATGATTTGGTTTCTGTGGTCTGCCTTTGCAGGAATTTAGCTGGGACATTGGGGTTGGGACTTACTGGATGTGGGATTTCCAGGGAGAAACTTCTTCAAGTACTGGAGGGGTCAAAGACTGCTGGGCCTTAAGGGTCAGACAACAGCTGGTGAACTCAGATCAGTCTAACCCGAAGCAAAAAGCTGGAGGCTTAGGAAAATAAGCTGTTTATACAACCAGCCACCCACGGGCATTATTTAAAAAACAAAACAAGAAAAGTTTGGGATATTTATCCAAGACACCTTACAGGTTCCTTGACATATTTGTTTTGTGTTTCTGAGAGGACATGAAGTGGGACTGTGGTGGTCCCTTCTCCCAGATCCCTGTGCAGGAGCAGGACCAGCACATGGATACCAGCATGGAATGCTGTGCCTTGGTTTTGTGAAAGAGCATTCTGCAGTGTCAGAGCCCTGTGTGTGGCATTGCTGACATGTGGCTCCTACAAACAGCCAACCTCATTCTCTGGCACTTGTTGCAGGCAGTTTATATCCAAACTGGAATTACAAAGTCATCCTCAGCCTCTGATGCTCACTTTGCAGCATGTGGGGAAGGCTGCCCACTGCTCACCTGTAAGTGCAGTGTACCCCCACCACATATCTCAGTGTGCAGTGACACAGAGTGTCCTCAGCTTAATTAACAACAATTTATAAAATTCTCCTTCTCTTTGTTTTCAGTTCTTCTGCTTTAAGACATCTTTCAACAGGTGAACCCTGGGGAATAGAGCAGGGAGAAGAGCAGCCCCTCACAGTCACCATCTTTCCCAAGATTTCTTTCCAGACACATGGTTGATGTATCTGCACCATTACATGGAGGGAATGGGACAGGCTTTGGTGCAGATGGAAGCAGACTGAGTGACCTGGTGTGGTGATAAGAACCCCCACTGGCTTGTCCCTCTGCTTAGAGGAAGGCTGAAAAAACCCAAAAAATCAAAGGAATAAAAGGAATAACAGAAAGATGGGGGTGGAGTGTGTTGGCAGTGCAAGGTGATGAGTGAAGGACTGTATGGCTTACTTAGCTGCTCCTTTATTGCCTAAAATTTACGTTCTCTGAGACCATCAGTGAGAGGGGAAATCAAGTCAGTCACGAGCCCAGAGAAAAAAAAAAAGAAAGGAGATGATCCTGTCCTCAAGCCCAGCATGGGAGAGCTGATCCAGGCACATAGCACACAGCCCTTAAACATCTCAGCACTGTGTTTCATTAGCACATAATCCCAGAGGACATGGGAATAAAATGCTCATGGAACCAACTCAAACTCTGTAAGTCAAAACTGGCTGCTCAAACTGAAAAATGAGGAGGGGAATGCTGTAGCATCAGCCTGAACCAAGCAGGAGGCTTTCACTGGAGCTCAAAGTCACTGATTCTCCATGTAGGACTTGAGCAGTGCCATGGGCAAGTATTGCCTTTGCTAAGAAATATGTGATGTGCATTGGGCAGCAGCATTTGGGTCCCTGTTCTGCTTTGTATGTCACAACCCCACTGCAGAAGAGCTACCAAACACTCATGAATGCTTCAGCAGGATAAATGGCTGGTCTGCTTCCTTCAAGTTATTCCACTGTAGTGTAGAAGAGCTCTTTTTGGGGAATTCTCTCCTGGACTGCAAAACAAATCCAGTTTTTTAAAACTGTTGTTTCTAGGCTGTCCTCTGTGGAGTGGCTGAGGCACAAAGGAGGACAAGAACCATACATCTTCATCTAAAATCAGATGATACCATATGTGATACTGGAGCTGGCTCTGCCCGTGGGACGGGCGAAGCCACTCACCACAAACCTGTAACAGCTTCCGAGGAGGCGGTGACACCGCAAAACTGCTCCGAAATAGCAATCCACTGCCAGCGTGGCTTAAACAGCTTTGCCATCACCCTTTCTGGCTGTGTGGGGTAGCAATTCCCCACCCCAGAAGGGCAGCAGGGAAGGTGCTGAACCCCCTCAGGCTCACCATGCACCATGCCAAAGGACAATGTTTGTCTCCATTCCCATGTTTCCAGATGATCCATCATCACTTCCCGGGGGCATGGCCACCTCCACAAAGCGCAGGCAGCAACTTTTTATCAGCACATGACACCATCCATGGATTTTGAAATGGAAACAAATATTTCTGTATCCAACAGATGTCACATTGTGGGAATTGAGGGTGAAAATCACTGAGCAAGACTGTGGATGAAACTCCCTTTGTCTCCATTGATCCCATCTCCTCTGCTAACCAAACAGCCAAGGATGAGTCCTGGGACAGCTTTGCCAGGTTATGCCCAGCACCACCTACACCTGCAGCACCTCTGGAAGCACCTGGGTTTAGAAGGTCCATCCAAAGGAAGAAAGTGGTGCTATAGGGTCCCTTTCTTTCCCTGCTCCCACCTCTCTGCAGAGGAATCTCATCCCTCCCTCCTTCCTCCTGCAGCCCCTCTGACCTCCAGCAGGTCCCTCTGCATTGTCCTGCTTTTTAATTGCCTTTACAGACCTTTCCAAGCATGTCCTTCCCGGGATCTGAATGTAATGCTACAAACCTCAACGAGTTTCCTCACCATGCCTCCTCTCTGTGCTTTATTTTTTTCCAGTTTTTTCTCACTATTCATAGATCTTGAGAAGTCCTGTAATGTCAACACAAACCATCCAGACTCCTGTGTGAGGGAGAGCAAGCTTTGTTCCCTTTATATATTTTGTAGGGGAAAGGGAAAACCAATCTGAAAAATTCAAGTGCTTGAAAGTTTCTGGGCAGTTTCCCAATTTCTCAAGCTCCAGGCTCTGCTACAGGGACTCAAGCAGTAAATTGGCCCTAAAACTCTTGCCAGAGCACTCACAGGCTCCCTCTTGGCTTTGTAGTGTTGGTACTTGAATGCTCAGCACTGTCAGGGTCCCTGGTGGACTCCAGCCATTTCTTCCCATCAGGAGTGGGTAGCTCTGCTCCTTAATGAACTGTCATTGCCTAATCATAAGCCTGGATTTTTGGAAGAGGAGAGGCCTTGGCTGGATCAGAAAGAGTCCTGCAGGACACTTGCTGCTGTCAAGATATCTTGAACTTGGATGGCAACAACCTCTCCTTATTCTTAGGAAAAAAAATGGACACAAAGGGTCCAGCATCTCACACCAGGTGTCTGTGAGCTGCACAATATCCAGTCCAGGACAGGTGAAGAACAAGGTATCTGTGCTTCCTCCTCTGCAGGGGCTTCCCTGTGCCCCAGTGCCTCTCTCCAGCCACCCTCTGCCTGGCTCTGGGAAGCTGTGATGGCATTCCCCAGCTCCCAGCATGCTTGCAGTGAACACACAATTGTCAGACAGAGGAAAGGGGAGACAGACAGGTCTGACAATGAGAGAAAAGAACACAAAAAGGACCAACACCATTGAGAAAATACAAACTGCCACCAAACATCAAGGAAAAGGCAAAACTGATACCCTGCTCAGGCCTTCAGGAGCATCTGCAGGGGGAGGAGGGTGGGGCTGAGCCTCAGTCTGGGCATCACCACCGCTGTCAGCCCTGTCTTTCAGAGGAAGGATTTCATGTATAGGGGAGGTGCTCCTGCCTCAATTTTGCCATCACAGGAAAAGGTGTGGTGAAGTCACTTGCAAAGCAAAAGCCCTGACCTGCATCACCTGGAGCTGTCCATCCAACCTCCCTGAGCTTCAGCATGGATTTGAAAGAGGTGTGGAAGGCAAGCAGGAAGGCAGGCAGGAAGGAGATGGTTTTAGGCTTCTTGTTTCATACACCTTAGAAAGATCTCTCAGAGTTCTTGTAGCTCATGCTCAGCTGCCACCCTACAAAAGTCACGCTCCTTTGAAGCAGCTCTCAGTGGGCATGCACCAACATTCACCTTTAACAACAGGCTTAACAAATACTTTCAGGCTTTCTCCAAGTGACCCCAGCACTGACAGGGTTTTCCATGAGGGAGGAGTGTCTGCAGCTCCCTGTCCCCTGCGGTGCCCAGGGCAGGGAGCACAGCAGTGGCTGATGCCAGGACACGTGGAGTTACTTACGCGCCGTCGCCGTACACTTTGAGGGCATTGATGCAGGTCTTGTCCCAGCCTTGTCCCTGCAGGAAGGAGCAATCTTCTGTCAGCTCCATGCTGGGACCCCTAAAATGGCTCCCCTCGAATATTTCGATCCTGTAATGCTCACCGTGCTGGGGACAAAGGGATTGAAGTCAACAGCAACACCAAAAAAGCACAACAAATTATTTCTCTGGCTTTTATAAGACAAAGAGGGAGACAGAAGGGTGCTTTGGAAGGGGAATGTGAAGAGCAATCCAAGACCACTGGTGCCAGCATGAACAGAGCATGCACACCAACCACGAAAGCAGCCAAAAATCCCTATCCCTGTGCCTGGCTGCACCTTCCTGCAGTGCTGTCCACATGCAAACACGGTGTGGGGTGCCAGTGCTCAGGCACACACAGCCCCTTGTCCATCTGTAGATCCCCCCACCAGCCCACAAACCCTCATCCCAAATGCAGCATCAGCTGTAGCCCTGATGCTCTGTGCACCCAAACAGGTAAAAAGGAACATATCCCGAGTGTACAAAGATGTTGGGCTACTCCCCTAAACTAATTCAGATTGCCTCCAGTTTCATGCATAGCTGCTGTTCCTGGTGAGAGATGTTCTGCCTTTCTTATAGGAAAATAAAAACGAGGGAGAAAAAGGAAACTTTCCCAGCATCATCATTGCTGTGTGAGCCATCGATGGTCACACGACACAAATTACTCTGGGGAGATCTCTGCAGCCTGTGGCAGAGCTATGTGGGACAGAGCGAGCTCAAAGGATATTTTTAAGCCAAATTCAAATACCTAAAGGTGTTTTTCAAATAAACAACATCAGTGCACAAGAAGGCTGGGCTGCCATGCCAAACCCCACAGCAGGCAGCCGCCGGCAGCAGCCGAGGGACACCGTGCCTGAGCAAACATTCCTCCGGGAATCCGCGCTGCACAAATGCCTTGCAGCCCTTGCTGGCATCTCACAGGGAAAATCTTGGGCCAGGAAAGGAGGAGCACATCCTTGTGCTGGCCAGGGTCCAGGGCCTGGGCCAGAGCATCCCTCCACGTACGGATCATGGAGGTGCTTTGGGAATGATGTTACAGACCTGAAAGAGACCTGCTGCTGTGCCAAAAGCGATTTCAGGGCCAGTGAGAAATCCCACCAGCTCCAGCTGGGCTCATCATTGCCCTGGAGGACCTTAGTGATAGGAGAATTAATGGACAGACCCAACCCATATTCAGTTTTCTTTGCTACTTTTTAATCTTCCCATTTAAACCTTCCTCAGGTTAGTGTTTTTAAAAGCTTGATACAGGGAAGGGAAAACAATGGGTTTAGTTTAGGATTACTGGGGTCAGAGGGTGGTTTTCAACAGCAGAGAATTCAACTAAAATTTGCTAGGAGCAGCCCTATGTCTGCTTAGGAAGCCCTTGGGCTGCCCTCTCCCCCTCTGGGTCCGTGGGGAGATGCAGCTGCTGCAGCTCAAACTTGCCTTGGGCAATGAATCTCTTCTGAATTCCCTTGTGAATATCCCATAGCAGCTTACATTAAAAGGAAAAGCACTCAGTACCAGCAGGACCTTGCCATCTCATCTAGAAAACCACAGGTGCTCAACAGGCCACCCTATTTCTAAAGAACACAGATTTTTATGGCACTTATTCACAGGGCTCCTGTGACCAGGATAAACTAAACCCAGCGGTGCTCTGGCTGGAGAGCCAACACCAGCAGCATCCCACTCACCATCCCGATGGGCCGGCAGGAGCCCAGGTGGTCGCTGCGTCCGTTCCAGCGGTAGAAATCGGGATACTCGCCGTGCTCCAGGATGTACTGCTGCCCTCGGAAGTCGGGGTGGTCGAAGCAGACCCAAGCTCCACTCTGGACGCAGATGGAGTTGACTCGATTGAGGAAACCTTGGTCCTGGAAGCTGTTGCAGCTGCCACAGATGTCCAGCTTCCTGCCTGTGAAGCATCTGCCTTCGTAGAGAGTGATCTGAGGGAGGGAGGAGAAAGGGCCCGTGGTGAGGAGCAGGGACACAGCCGGACTCCCATTCCAAGCAGATGGGAATCTCTTGCAGATGCATCATTTCAGGATGGTTTGGTTTATTTTAGCTGCTTTCCAGCAAAAGGAGCACGGCATCACTGGCATTTTTTCCTAAGAAGCGTATTTGTTTTTCTGGGAACGCAGTGCGTCCCGCATTTATGACACTTCTTGCTGCCTCGTGCTCACTCACACATATTTCCAGCAGGAATGTTTAAACAGGAAATTCGGCTCCCGAAAGGCAACTCCTTCTGCTGCACCCTCCCCATCCCTGCCACCAAATTTGCTCCCAGGATCACCACTCACACCCCGTCTGCTGGCTCTATTATCCTCATCAGCTCCTTCCACCCGGAGGATGCTCGGGCTCTCCGGCCCCAGGCTGAAAGGGAAGCGGTTGGGTCGTTACTTACTTTTCCTGAGTATTGAGACATTTTCTGCTGGCTGTTATCCAAGACCAAGAGCGGGAGCCAAACCAAAACGGCGATGGACAGATCGTTGGACACCCCACTATATAGGGGCCGTCGGGGGGGGGCCGGGCTGGGGCTGGTGTCGTGAGGGCTTTTTAACAAAGCCGCGGGAACGGGGGGCTTTGCGCTTTCCTGCTTCGTAGGCAGAACCGCCGGTAACGGGGCCTGCTGAGTCCGGGCTTTTGATTTTGGGCAGATGATCTGACAAAAGATTTGCTTGGCAGGGCTTTGGTCGATTAGCAGTGCACATTTACTGCTCCTTTTTGGAGGACTTCTTTTTTTTTACTTTTTTGACCTTTTTTTTGTTTTTATTTCTATTTCTTGTTTCCTTCCCTCCTCTATTTTCCCCTGGGGTATTTTTTCTCTCCTTTTTCTTTTTCCTCACAACAGATAACAAATAAGTGAGGAAACAACAGCATCTCTAAGCATGGCACATAATTTCTCTGTGTCAGGTTTGCTTTATCCCAGGTTGTTCCCACCTATTGCAGCATGGCAGCCAAGAGAGGGTGTCCTTGAAGACTCCTCACCAACAAATATTGCACTCCATCGGTCAAACCAATGCTTTCTCATTTAACCTTTGAACCTCTCTAAATGGCACCTCCAAAAGCCAAGGACCTGATCCCCTCCAGAGCACAAAGGTTGGGCTCACAAGCCACTGATGTCACGCAGGAGCATCATTCTCAGGAATGTTTTGATCTTCCAGCATTGAAGCCCTGACTCACAGCTCTAAGTCAGGATTAGAGGGACTTTTGGACCATAAAGTTACCATATTAAAGTAAGTTACATTGCAGCTATATGGGACCATAAAGTCCTCGTCTGTGTTATAAGAATCCAGAAATAAAAATCCAGAGATTTTAACTGCCATATTTCCAGGACAAATAGCGAAGGAAGCTCCCAGCCCATAAACCCCATCAGTTTATATTAATGAGCCAGACTAGGAAGAGGTAAAGGCAGATGAATGGGGGTGGCCCATGGACCAGCATGCAGAGACATACCAAGGGGCCACGATAAAAGGAGATTTGTCTTTTATGCTTTTTAGTAGCTCTGGAAGAGACTTCACACACAGCTCCTGCTCACTGAATCCTCCTCCTCACTCACAGGACTCCCATCATCTCCCCTTGCTGCTGCCTCTCTCCCTGGACCATCAGGCACACGCTTCAAATCCAGACCCTAAAACCTCCTCTCTTGGCAGGTTGCTCCCATCCTCACGCACGCCAGCAGCCTGGCTTGGCAGCCCCGCTCTGCTCACCACTTCATCTCGAGATTAAAGACTGCTTCAGGAGAAAGGATGTCATTATTAGGGCTCAAACGTGCGCCACCCTTTCAATTAAGATGTAAAAGTTAATAACTGTGTGTGCAGACACACGTAGGCTGAGCCAGAGGATGTCGCTGACTGGGATGCACTGGAGGAGGAAGGAGGGAGGTGGCACTTTGTGCTGGGAGAGGAAACACATCCTCCAGCTGATGCAGGCAAACCTGCCCCAGCATTGCAGGAACACAGTTCACAAATATGTATTGTGCTGTGAGGCAGGAAACAATAAAAAACCCTCATCGGATTAAAAAACCAACCTTGCCCAAAACCTCCTTGAAATGCTAGTGCTAATTTTAAGGTGTTAAATTAATCACCAGATGGTGCAGGGAAAAGTAACAGCATGCAGAAAGTCCCACTTGGAAGAGCTGCAGCCAAGATGGGGGGCATTAGCTCCCAAAAACCAGTCATTCCCTGTGGCCTTGCAGTGCCCTGGGAGGGAAGGAGAAGTTCCTCTTCTGAGTCATGGCTGGGAGCACGAGGACAATGGGGTGGCACCATGGGACCCAACTGGCATTGGGACCCAGCTCTCCATCCATTGGGGTTGTAGCTCACGCACTCTTTGCATTGGCCATGAGCTGTTGGGTGCCTGGAGAGGAAGACCCTTGACATCCATGGCAGACTGCCCCAAGGCACCCAGGAAAGCAAATACTGCCTCAGGAGATTTTTATGGAACCACAAAAGCCTGGTTTCCTCTGGCTCTGTCTCATGAGGGGATTTTCCTTAAGGTGTGACATTTAATTCAATGTGCAAGAGCTTGATGAATCTGAGACTTGTGCTCAGCTGTCAGATTTCTTAAAAATTATCCAACAGATTCAAAAAGCTATTTCAGGAGAGATGGAAAGAGGTTGTGGCAATTTTATCCCCATTTTTTGAGAAACCACGTTAAAGACATGAAATAAGAAAGGACCTATCTCTAGAAAAAAAGAAAGTGATGGGAAAAAAGAATATTGAAGAATAGCAAATCATAATTCCTGGACAAACCCCCTTAACTCCTTGCCAAAGATGGAAAGGCTGCCAGTGGAAGAGAGAAAGAGTTAGTGGCTACTAACAGCATTTCAGGCAAGTGATGCTGGGGCTGACCTTCCCTCCTGATGCCCAGGTGCATCTGACCATGATCCCCACAGCAAAAGGGCTGTGGGCAGCTTTCTTCCACTGTGGCTGCTTAAAGGATGAAACACTGGGAATGAACTTGTAAATTTGAGTATTTGGCTTTAAGTCAAAACCCAAAAATATGAGATTCTTTTGTGGGTTTGGTTTAGAGGGAGGAATTGGGTTTGATGTCCACAAAGGCAGCTCCATGCTGTGCTATCCCTGCTGGCCTTCGCTGCCACAAGACTGAGGAGTGAAGTGGTGAGAGACAATTTGCTCTCCGAATTGTCCAGGCCAGAGCCAAGGGAGCTGAGCAGGGTATGACTCCTGGAGGTGAATCTTTGGGAGTGACCTCACTTATGTGAACATCAATATTCCATGTCAGATGCTTAGCAGGATTAGCATTCTGCTCAGAGATACCTCCTACAGCTGGTACAGCCCCACACAAATAACCATTAATGGAGCAGCAACCAAGGAGCTGCTCCACATCCTCTGAAAGGGCCACACTTCAGCTTCTGGAGGAGCCTGTAATGTTTGCAAAGCAGTGTAAGACCAGGCACAGAAAATCCCTAGTTCAGGGCTTTCAAAACACCATCTTGCTTTGAAAAGCTCACAGATTTTTCACATACCTCAGTATGAGATACTTTGAGCTCATTAAATATGAAACAAACACGGGTCTTGCTCCTTCCCATGGAAAAATTTTTGGCTTGCTGCTGGGAATGGTGAGCACATCCTCTGGGCCTCCTCAGAGCAGCAACAGACCTGAGTGAGAAACTATCTCATGACTCAAGGGAGAGTTTCCATGTGAAATACACGTTGCTTTTCAAAAGACCTGGCCCACCTCAGACCAGCTGCCAAAAGTACCAATTTCTGCTGGTGATTAACCCACTCTCTGTACCTGAGTGCACCACATGCTGCCTCCCAGAGCTGCCAGGGGAACTGGGAACACTGCAGAACATCTCCGCAAAACATTCAACCCACGCCCTCACTGGCAGAATACATCACCTGCTGCTGGAAATGGGAATCAGCTTCCAGGCAATGGTTTTGGGTTCAATGTGTTGCCTTCAGCACGGATGCACTGTGACATAAAAATCTCTGGAATATCTCTACCAAGGGTGGCCATCCCACACCCTGACCCACCACCCATCCCATGTCAGCAACACCTCATGTCACCCGTGTGGGGTAAGGACTCCAAAAAACCTCCTCAGACTCAGCAAACCCTGTTACAAAATAATGGATCTGACCAGGTTTCTGCTAGGAAAAACAGCTCCTCACCTTGGAGAGGGAACCTGCTGGTCAGGTTTAGCCAATTATGGTCCTGTTTTCAGTAATATTCTGTCCAGGGATCATCACACACCTCAGCATCTGACTGAGATGGGACTTGGACTTCACTTTGGAAAGTCTCAGAAAGCCTGGGGTGTGAAATCCTTTCAGTTTTCATTGTATTTCAAAAAAGTTCCAGTAGGGGAACAGGAAATGCAAGGAAAAGCTGGATGTTAAGAACACCCATCACCCAGACCAGTTCAGTCACACTTCTGCATACTCACAATAGTTGAAGTGATCTGTGCAAAGGTTTTCACTCCATCTCTCCTGTTGTCAAAAGGGAGCAATTTTGACCTTATTAGATGAAGTTGTGAAGATGAGTCACTATTAGCAAAACACTCTGAAGATGAGCAGTCCTGATTACATAAGGGCTAATTAGAAGCTGTTGATTTCTGCTTCTGGAGAGGCTCAGCAGTGTTAATTAGCAGGGTAAGCCCAGCAAGCCTGGGCACATCATCACCACCTGCACTGCGCTCGCACAGCACCTGGGACATCTGCACCTTGTCCAGATATGACAGCACAGCTACTGCAGGCACACAGGAACAATGAAAACACTTTTCCAGCTTTTTTATTCTCTACCAAGGACTCACCAACCCTTTACAGAAGGTGGGAAGAAGCATTACAAAGAAGGTTCCACAGACCCAGAGCCAGCTCCCCAAATTCCCTGTCATGGAGTTAACCAGGTAGGGACAAACTTTGTTAGGCATGGAAAGAACAGGAAAAAGAAGGCTCATTAATTTATTTGGCACCTGCAGTCCATCCTGCCCCTGCTGAGCTCACCTGCCCCACTGACTTATTCATCCTCAGCATTTCCAGGCACGGCAGCTTGGAGATGGGCAGCTCCAGCCCTGGGACTCAGGATTATTCACACAGCAAAGCAAGGAGTTGGACAGGGGCACAAACAAGGCAGGAGTCACTTCCAAACCAGGGCATTGTAAATCCACACAAGTCAATGAGAGTCTAACATGACTTAGAATAGTTAATCTTCACATAACCACAGAATGACTGGGATCAGCAGGCACCCCTGGAAGACACTTGGCCCAACCCCTGTTCAAGCAGGATCACCCAGAGCAGGTTGCTTGGGACCATGCCCAAGTGGCTTTTGAGTATGTCCAAGGTGGGAAACTGGTGGACTGTGCTCAACCTCACAGTAAAAAAATTTTGCTCATTTTCTCAACAGGAAAAGGACTTTTGCCCTTTTACTTTTGCAAATGATCATCGCTGAAGAATAAAGTTATTAAGTCTACATAATTCTTTTCCTAGCCTGGATCAGAGAACTTATACAAGACTGTAAAAATTCATCAAGGAAAGCAGCAGTTTGCTACGAAGCATTATTCTGTACCTGTACATAACAGGACTTCCACAACTGCCCAGCCCCTCCCCACCTTCAGGGCTGTCAGGGTGAAAATCCAACCTGTGCCAGCTCAGTACAAGAAGCACAAGGCTTCCCCACCCTCTGTTAGACTCCAGCTGCTGAAGGTGCCATCCTGAGAAGCCAGGTGAAATCTCTGCAGCCAAGGATGGGGAGGAATTCACTGATCATGCTTAATTACACATTTCAGCAGAACTGCAAGACTATTGCACATGGCTGGTCTTTAGATCTTATTAGCAGAGAAAGGCTTGGACAAGTGGAATAATTTCCATTTTTTACTGGATGAAGCAGAAAGAGGAAGAAGGGAACAACATATGTGGATGAGTTCAATTGTTCAGCTATTATGGAAAATGCAAGAGCAGTACACATCTCTCTGTGCTGAGTACATTAACTGAGCTGGAAGGGACCCAAAAGCCCATCCAAGTTCCAACCCCCCTGCCATGGGCAGGTTCACTTTCTGCTTTGAGGTTGCTCAAAGCCCCATCCATTCTGTCTTTGTGGAGCATCCATAAACTCTGGGCAGCCTGTTCCAGTGTATCACTGCCCTTAAGAATTTTTTTTATTACTCTAAACCTACTCCCTTGCAGTTTGAAGCCATTTTCCCTTGTCCTATCACTACATGGCATTGTGAAATGTTCCTTTCAAGTCTCAGAAACTCCCACTACAAATCATCCAGAGAATCTGCACTTGCCTTTAAGCCCTTTTGGAAAGCCTCACCACTGGAGGGCAGGACCTGAGTTACCCCAGACTGTTAAACTGCACGTGCCCTTATGCATCTCCTTTAAAACTCTTAGCAGCTGGCACACCTCAAGAAGCAATGCAGCAACTGGGGTTAGACTGATGCCAGTACACCTGCAGCCAGGTTTTTTTGACAAAAAAACAGGGCAGATGTGGTCACTGAGGTTTGTTTTACTCCAGAATTTCCACCTGTGACGCAGAACACAACACTGTGTCCGTGATGCAACGCCACAGCCTCGGGTCACACAACAGCTCATCAGTGCCTGGGATGGGGCACTGAAGGATCACTCTGAACTGACACACCCAAGCTGGGCTCCTCCAGCCATGCCCTGCAGCCTCAGCCCTTCCTCCAGAGCCAAGCTACCCTCGCTCCAGTGCTGCAGGTTCTTGGGCAGCAAACAGCCCCAGCTCAGTCTGGCTCCCAAGTCAAAGCATGGACTCGTTTCCCTGAATGAGCTCCCTGCTGAACTCCAGCAATCCATCGTGCGTAACAATCTTCCAGCTACTCAACCTGTGCTTGGCACAAGGTGTGAGAATTCATGGAAAACAAGGTTTTCAGAAACACTGGGAAATATCCTAAGTGGAGAAAAAGGGCAATTTTTTTTTTACCAGTTACTCTCATGAGGACCAAAGAAAATACCAGGCTTTCCTATATACACTGTTGAGAGGTTTAGACCATTTTTTATATCATATGAGGGAACAAGCACACAAAGAAAATGAAGAACCAAATGCTTGATTTCTAGATTTTAGCACAGACTGGAATCCTGGTTGCAAAAACACTCCAACTTTCCTATGTACTCCTGTCAGAAATTAAGTTTTCAAATGAACACAAAAATGCAGGCTAAACACTTCATTTAATTAGCTGTTCCCCAAGTCAGCCTTGTTTGTTTTTACTGTTTTGGGTTTTGTTCTGCTGTTCGATACAAAGTAGGTCAACTGCAAATTTTTTAAATATAGAGTAGTACTTTGTTACCAGACTTGAAAGATTACGGTTTGCTAAGCCTCCAGTCCAAAAGCCAAAGAAAAGCTTGGAGTTGGTCAGAGAAAGCTGTGCAGGAGCCCTGAACTGTGCATGGCCAGGCAGCAGGAGGCCGCTCACCTCTACCAGGAGCACAGGAATTCACAACAAACAGCCCACACTGATTTGTTCAGGACGTGCAATTTATTTTAAATGACATTTTTGTTCTCTTAACAAGTCTACGCTCGTGACCTGAATAAATCCACTCCATCCTGACAGCACTCCCAGTCACAAGTCCACGTGAACAGTCCGCAGCGCAGGAACTCGGGGTGGCTCTGCGCACCCTTTACTCAGTGGTTACAGAGGAAAAACACAGAGCAGGTTCTGACTGAAACCCAGGACTTCCCTTCCAAATAAAGCTGGCACTTGTCTCTCCTTCCCGTGACCGGGCACAAAGCAAAGCAGAGCTGCTTGGCCACCCTGGAGTTCCAGTAGCAAAAACGTTTGGGATCACTCGCAAACAACTTCCCAAGCAACAGTCAAACAATCCATTGGCTCCAAGGATCTCACGCCTCCTCTTAAGGTCAGCAGGTGAACATTTTTCACAAAAAAAAAAACAAACCAAAAAAAAAAAACTTGATATGGAGTAATCAACAAAAAATTATAAACAGAACATTTAAGGTTTGCAGCTATTTTATTTACAAGTATACATTTAACACAAAGAAACACTGATATCCAAGCCTAGTTAATAGTAGTGTAACAATATGCATCATTTTGATGATTATTCTAACCAACAAACTACACTGAAAAATTAATGCCAGTAAAATTCTTGGTCATAATATTAAGAAATACAATATATAAATTGAAAATATGATTGCTTAAAATTTGAAAATGGAAGTGAAGCCATTTGCACAGGAGTCAGAGTTTAACATAATCTGAAGGGAAAGGCTCCAAACCAACTGTTTATCTTTCAGGTTAACAGAAGAAAAAAAATAAAATTAAAAAAAGGAAAAAAAAAAAAAAAAAAAAAAAAAAAAAAAAGAAGCATAGTTTATCCTTAAAGATAATGGGCAGTTTTGCTTCTTCAGGTAGAATGTATTCCCAGTGTTTTCAGGTTCTGCAGTGGAATTACATTACTGAGCATGAAGACTTCCCTTGTGAAGCTGCCCCATCGATTTTTTCTGCCTCCAAAATTATCCTCTTAAAAACATCAACGGCAGTCTGCAAAGAGAGAGCACACCATTAGGAGGGAAGGGGGGACTGCCCACTTACTGAAAGAACAACTGAAAAAATGTTAGCAGTTTCACCAACTACATCAGCAGATAAACTCACATCCAATGCTTATTCCAAAAGTGAGGAGGGCAAACACAGTCATTTTGGTTTCAAAGGGAAGTGCAAACCTCTATCCACAGCAATCCTCGGCAGGAAACTGAGCCAGATTCACAACAGAGCTAATAACTGTAATCACCTCACTTTGCCTGGTGAGCCTGCCCTGGTGACTGACAGCACAGAACGTTTGGATGCTGTGCTGCTCCAGAAAATAAACCAATCCGTTTGCTCTCAGTAATCTTTAAGATAAGGAACAATTACAGAAGGCAGCAGATTTTTCAGGTCTCAACACTGACTTTGCACAGCTCAGTATAAGGGGTGACTTTATTACACTTGATTTTCTCATTGTCCCTATGAGTAAGATCAGTATTAGACACGGTGCAAGGACACAAGGGGAAAGCACAGACTGAACTATCACTAATATTAAGCAATATCCTTTGATAAAGACCTCCTGAGAGAAAAGGGGTTACATTTTAAATAACCTGAGCTGCATGACTAGAGCTTCAATGTGTGCATCTTCAGCTTGGAAATGGTCCCCTGACCATCTCAGGCCACCATCTGATTCAACCTCTGGCCATCTACTTCAGGAATTCCAAGCACAGGAAAGTATTTATGTAAAAGTAGTCATGCTAGAAAGAGAATAAAAAGGGGGGTTTGCTGGTTTTAATCAGCAGGCTGAAGAGCACCCTGTGATTTATGGCTACATACTCTGATTTAACAGATGTTTTTCCACCTCCACAAGACATAATTCTTAACTGGATCACTTCCAAATTAATCTCATTGACTGAAGCCCCACAGCAATTTTAACAAGATTAGATTTAATGTTCAAGTTTCCCACATATATACTGTTTGTGCACAGTATGATCCCTGGAACTATTTAAAGTACTTCAGCAGCTGGAAAATAGGGTATTCCTCCATATAATGGAGTTTCCTGCAATCCCAACAGAACCTGACAGAACTGGCTCGTTAGTTCAGTAATGATACAACACATTTCCTGGGCAAATTAAGACTTTAGGAGAACCATGGCCAGGACTGCAGTTGCTATCAAACTGCTTCCACTAATGACAAGTTTCCCTTAATCAAAACCTGGTGGTGCACTGATTTACAAATATACTGCACCATCATTTTCTTAGAGTCAAAATTTTCAATGGTTTCGTTTTAACACTAAAGTTCTTTTTGCCCATGTGTCACAGCACCCATTAAAACTCCACAACTTACTCTGTCAACCAAAAGGCTGTACATTCCGTCAAAGATGAGCTGTTTGAAGCAGTAAGATGTAGGAGTTCACAGGGTATGTTAATTCATTTCACAGAAAATACAGATTCACTGGGAAGATTTAATTACTGTCCTACAGTGAACGCCTTGGAATTTGTAATTCAGCTCAAACGTGCTGAAGAGTTTTAGACTGACCCTTTAAACAACACAGGAAGATGTTTTGTGACAAGGAATAAAGGATGCAGCCAGACTTTATATGCATCTGCCTCCATATGGTCCAATTATGGAATGTGGGTCACACCCAGCCCACAGGAAGCCATCTGGCTTTTCCCTCTACCTTTCTCCCACAGCAAACAGAAGAGATGCCAGCCTGGGCAACACCTGCTGCCCACAGAGCCCAGCAGTGAGCAGGGGACACCAGAGGCTCAGCTGCTGCTGCAGATGTGCCCTTGGTGTGAGCAGGGCAGGCAGCTCGGGAGGCAGATTCCCTGCACGGGCAGGAATGTGCTGCCAGGAGCCAGCAGGAGGGTGCAACCACCCAAATCCAGCCCACAGTGCTGGAGTCACCCTTTGGCAAGTGTTTTGTTATTTCAAGGAGGAAACTCTCAGCTGTTCACACTACTGATTTATCCTAGCACAGAACTGGGCACAGGAATTTGAACAATAGCCAGGTAAAAGATGGTTTTTTCTCCCTGTCCTTTGCCATTCCAAACATGTCAGATCCCTGGATTCCAAACTATTCTGAAGCATTTACTAAGCAGTGCATCTTCTGAGCTCCAAGACGAAGCTGCCCTTGAAAAAAGAAGTACAACCAAGCAATTATTTTTTAAGAGAGCTCCATTTTGGTAAGAAACAAATTTTTTGCTACCTTCTTGCTCCTTATGCAGTTTATCTAATGCATGTTGCATAACTGGATGAACACAATTTAGTTGCTTGTTACTTCCTAAATTCTTCCAGTAGAAGTTGGCTTCTAGCTTCACCTGGGTTTAAGACCACTTTGGATTCTGGCTGTATTTTCAAGAGTGACTTTATTGCACCAGGATTAGGATGAAGCACTCTATTACTGCCTAGAGAATTCCACAAGAAAAAAACTTGAAATTCCTGAAGTTAGCTGAAGCAGTTCAAGATGTCTGGTAGTAATTAAGCATCTTAAGAAGATATGACAGCAACAGCCCAGCAGTCATCACAGAGAGTCTTTTCCATTAAGTGTCAGGACTGCCTTCCCAAAGCCCAGGGATTTCCCTTGATGACTGATGTGCTGGTGATATGCAGACTCCTCCCAAAGTCCTACCAGGTCACACATGTCTGGAGGAACTGGCACATACTCAAGTTTATCTGACCTTGAGAACTCCTGCCAGCCACTATCATTTATCATCACCGCAGCTTTGATCTTTGCCTCTCTCACTTTCCATCTACTCCAAGTCATGCCACTTCTGGGATGTGTTATCTTTTGATAACTCTCTGCAGAATAGGCAGTTTGTTTAAGTTAATCTATAGAACTATTTCAATTGCCCAGTGTAATTTGGTTATTTATGCTCCATGGACTCTCACAGATGCTTCAAAATGGATTTTTAGAGGGGTTAAAGCAGAAAGGTAGAAAAGAGGGAAAAAGCCTTTGCTATCAGGGACACCCCCTTCTCCTCACCACTGTGAACAGCATCATGTACACAACCACTCTCAGACCAGCACACCAGAAATTGTCACATTTCTGCTCCAAATCCTCCAAATACAGATGGGTCTTGATTTCAGAGAGAATTAACAGATATACCCTCAGTCAAGAAGCTTTGAACTCTCTGCTCAGGTTCCAAATCCCTCATCCAGTTTAGCTCATGCCTAAAGCATAAACCAGCTTTCTGTTAAGCAAACAGAAGCTGAAGCACTTTTGGAAGAAGTTTGGAATTAATCTGGATAGTCAAGTTACATTTGCAGTACCAAGCCAGTACAGGTGATTATTTGGATGAACCTCGATACAGAAAGTGCCAACCAACTTCTTTTTCCAGCAATGTTGGCTTATATAAGGTGAACACTCAGTACCAGGAAAATGACAAAACAGCTTGTTACCCAGTTCAAAACAAACCCTTCCCCTCCCCCGACCAGACACAGCTTGACAGTAAGAGAAGATACCCTGTCCTGACAGAAGTCTATGTATCAGCTCTTTTAATCCTGTCACATTAGGATTTGGAGGAGAAAACCCAAATGAGTTCAGAAGTGCTACTGCTCCAACTCACAGGGAGGGATGTTACAATGCCTGGTGTCTCCTTCTCCCCCAGCACCTTACAACTCCAGACTCCACACTTGGCTCTCAAAACTCAATCTTCCACCTCTTCAGAGCTGGAGATGTGTGAGAAGACTGAGGCAGCTGTGCCAGTGTTGGGCTCCTTCCCACTTTATTCCACACGTCCCAAGCCTCCAAAGGAAACACGCCAGAGAGCCTGAAGGATGGTCACATGCTGTGGGCACCTGTCTCAGAAGTGACATCTGATCTGCCAGACTTCTGAAGATGGACAAATTTACCAAGTGTATCCAAGTGTGTTATATAGCAGGCATGATGCAGGAATTGTGTTCAGGCACCTGCCTCTAACAACCTGCTCCTAAATGCAGAGGGATGGAATTTACAGCAACCTGTGATCACTGTTCTGAAGGATCCTGCAGAAAGGAAGATCTTTGACAGCCAGAATGCACAGGACTTCTGAATTCTTTTTGTGGGATTTGTCCAGGACTGTCCAGGATTTTGACTATCTGACATACAACTGCCATTCTGATTTCCCTGAAGGGTACCACATTTGATATATAAACTCCAGCTGGGAGCTTAACTTTATGCAGGAACACAAATACCTGGCAGTACAGGGGACTTTGTCACTGCAGCAAGTTAACATACAGGATATAACAAGCATCCTACAAAGCTTGTAGCTTCTTTACAAAAATAAACATGACATTTTTCTCCTCGGTTCAAGAACAATAAAAACTCCAGGAAAGTTATCAGTAAGATATTTTTCTGGATATGGATTGCTGTGGTGTTATACATTGAGAACATATGCCAAATGAAAGAGAGCATAGGCAACAGCTTTGCCTAATCCAGAAGTATTAAACTATTTAAAGGGGTGGAAAAAAAGACCAGACATTTTTAACAGGTTTATTCTTTACACTGTCAATTTAATTTCCTCTGGTATGCATTTGAAGCTCTCCAGAATAGAGAGAAGATATTGAGAAATTTCATGCTTCCATCATGTGCCGTTTTGACAAGGTTAATGCAAGTCTTAGCCAGAAACAGAAATACTGATAAATTAACTCCAAGTGTTCTATATCCCATAGCAAAAAAATAATCCAAGTTTTTCTTTCAGAGAAAAATCCAACTTTACTCAAGTAACTTGTACTATTGTTGACCATAATCAGACAAAATGATTATTCCCCCATTAGAGCGACTCAGCCTGCCCAGCACCTTAAAACACAAGGGTTCATCCTCTTACACCACCTTCACTGCTCTGCCAGAAGTGACTCCTGTTTAAGGTGAAAGACCCTGTTCCACCCACCTCATGGATATGAGTTTGTTACTAAGTGTTCTGATATGTTCAGTGAAAGCTGAAGTTCTTTCACTTCCTCCTCCCATTTACACTTGCAGGGAAAAACTTGTGTACATATACCTGAGTGCAGACAGTCGTTCTGCTTCCATCTACACAAAATATCTGTACAGCGCATGCAAATATTTTAGCTTCCTTTATTTAGTGAAACTCTGAGTCATCCATTACACTGCTATTTGAATAAAGTGACTCTTAAATCCATTACCTGATTTTCTTTAGCAGAAGATTCCAAGAAAGCTGCATTCCAGGATTCTGCTAAAGCTTTCCCTTCTTCATAGCTGATCACCCTGACCAGAGAAAGAAAAATATCTTTCTTATAACTTGCAGAAGAATTGGAATCTGATATGTTAAAAAATACCTCAGAGTACCAAAACACTTAAGTGTATTGTAATAGGAATGTCTTGTGAAGTCTGATCCAAAGCATTTGCTTTTGGCTGCTGTCAAATGCACTTCTGGGCCAGGTAAAACTGCTCTGTGACCCAGAAAAGCAGTTGTCCCAAAGTATTGCTTTGTTTTCATAATCTGTAATATCTGGTATTACTGCTATGACAAATACACTTCTGTTACTTACTTTGAAAAAAAACCAGAGTGTTAAATGACTGTCCCTGGAACCTCACTGCAAAAATCAACATTACAACAGAAGTTCATGGCTCGTAGTTCACATTCTGAACACAATTCCTTTGCCAGTAACTTATTTTGACCTAAAATTTGATTTTAGCTCTGGAAAGCCAAGAATAAACCCAGCGCGCTGCAGCCACAGGAATGCAGGCTGCTGCCTTGCATTTCCCACATTCTGGAGTTCACATACCGTTCCATATGCAGGTCTTTTTTATTTCCAACCAGCATAATGGGTATTCTGTGAAAGAAAGTTCAGAACTTCAGAACAGTTACAGTATACTGAACAAAGCACTAGCAACATGCCTGCAATGAAATGAGATGAAAGTGTCACTACTTACTGGACTTTTCCCACCATATCCAATAACTTGCCATGGATAACTTTTATCACTTCAAAACTGCAAAATAAAGGGATGAAGTCACACATGCACTCTGATGTTTATCCTCAATACCCAATACACAAGCAATTAAATGCATATGTAGGTTGTGTTTAAAACTTACTCTATGTATGCACAACTACACAGATGCTGGAATGTGTAACAGCAGCAAACTGGTCCCAGCAGCAGCAGAGACCAGCCTGAGCCTACCCTTACAGCCTCCCCAGTTATGGTATTTGCAGAAATAAATAATATTATCTAGGACTGATGCATCTAACACAGAATCATCCCAAGTCCCTCCCACCACTCATCTGGTTTGTATCTGCAGTGAGAAATTTAACTGCTGCAGTCCAACAGTCCTGGATGAGTATGTCAAATTAAAGCAAATTGAAAGAAAAAGTAATTAGTTAGGCAAGCTCCATCTTAAAAGAACACATTGTTTTTAATGAATATTTTGTTCATATATTTAATATGAAATAATTACTACTACTAATAAATAATAATAATTAAGTTTATTTATGTAAAAGCCAAAAAGAGCTAAAATTCTAATTTTCTGGAAAGTGAGTAAACTGATCTGCAAGATGGCACTGAAACAGTGATTACTCAAATATTCTTTGTCTGTTCCTCTACCATGTTGGTGAAGTTTGGATGACAGGAGGTAAGAAGCAGTACTGTAGAATATCAAGTCAAAAACCTCACTAACAAAATCCACTGCATTTGACATTTACTACTTTTGAGAACAAGCTATAAGTGGGGTTGAAGAGCAGATGTTGCACTTCTCTGGTTACACTATGGAAAAAATGCTGGTACATGAAGTGCACAACTTGGATTTAAGAGAGGCATAAGCTCAGGGATGAGACATGCAACTAGACAACAGAAAAGGGACCAAAACTTTTCCAGTTTCCAAGGTTGTTAGCTACAGGCAGTGTCTTGACTTGTACTGCATTTCAATTAGAAATGAAACTCTTCAAAATAGAGCAGCACTCAAACACACTTACAGCTCAGAGCAATCAAAGACCTGGTGCCTAAAAACACCATTCAAAGCAGTAAAACTTCTCACTTCTAGAACAATAAACTCTACCACATTTAAGATGGATTTTCTGTCAAGTAGGTAAATTTGTCTGACTCCAGCAATAATATCTGAGACTCTGTGGAACACAATGCTTCTCCATGCTCAGCTAATAGTTTCAGTGTATCCAATCAAGGAAATGAGTTCTTTGTAAACAGAAGCGTGACTTAGTCCGGCACAAATTGCTACTGGTAACTCAAGCAGGATACTACAGATTACACCGTGGAAAATGTGGAATCAATGGAAAACGTGGAATCAGTGAAAGGACTTTAGGGACACAAGGAGCTTATGCTGAAAGAGTTTTAGTGAAATTCTAGTCTTGAGAACTGGTCTTGGATGCTCATAATTATTAAGAAAGTAAGAGCTGAATGGAGCTTGGCTGTGACAAGCGTTAAGAAGCATCGCTACACACAGAACTACGTGAACCTGCAAACTGAACGAATAAAAATGCTACCAAAACCCATCTGCTGCAGACCACAAAACTGTTTCTCAGTCTGAAGCAAGGAGAAAGATCTTAGCACCCTATCCACAGGCTAATTGAATCTCTAGGACAGTACAATCACAGTTTCCTTTCCACTATTAGGTGTGTTGTTTCCAGCTAAGCCAGAAACAACCACACCGCAAAAACACACCCTAGCGAGTCTTTGCCTGAGGCTCTCATGTACAATGCAGCCAGGAGCTCCTGAACCTGGGCTCTCCATTGCCCCACTTTGGGTGTCTATCTGCTTGTGTAAGATTGTTCACAAACTTCTTTTTTTAGTGAAAATACTACAAATAAAAAGCTGATCCTTGTTAACAAACCAAGGTGGAAACCACAGGAGAAGTGTTATTTAAACTCCAACACAATTCTGACACAGAAACAGCTTGCTAAGAACTGCCAGGAATGAAAGTAGCTTGACCAATTAATGTTCTAGAAAGCTTTCCAAATTAATAATGTTGAAAAGAGGAAGGACAAAAAGAAGCAAGGACTGACCAATCCAAAAATAGAACCATCACATCAAGCTGTGAAACTGTGGGATTTGGAGACTATAAGAGGTCCCTTCCAGTTCTGTCAAGCAAATGGGTTACAGCAAACAACTCAATGTGTGAAATACAAAAAAAACCCCACATTACTAGCTGTCAGATAAATGTGTTACACAAAATCATGGAACCTAGCAAGATACATAATTGGAATTTAATTAAGCTGAACTAGAGCAAAAGCCTTCCAGTAACCTTGCTGCTTAGAGCCTGGGAATAAGAAAAATCTAGGGCATTAGCTTTCATTCAAGTCCTATTTAAACTTCCCACTGGAGGTTAGCAGGGAAGCTGGAAACTGAAAAGAGCATTTCTATTAAGTCTGCTGTCAAAGCTCTCGCCCAGCTGGATCAATATTTGGATCAATATACACACTTTGACAGAAGTCAGGACAGGTGATGACTGATCTCATTGTCTGGGCAAGTCATCAAAGCTACCAGAGTTCTGTGGAAGATCTTTCCTATCACCTAAACACTGTCTTGATACAGAACATAAGGAATTGAACAAAACAGGATCATGGACATTTTGAAATTTTAAAGAAGAAACAGCAACAATTATAAAAACTTGGAATAAACTGATCAAGATTAAATACTGATGAAAAGACTTTTGAACTACAGCCTTAAGCTAGTCTGTCCTGTTTGCATTTTTACCGTAACTTGGTTTAACTGATTGAATGGAGTGGATGAGAAGGAACAAGTCCTTAAGCTGCCAAACAGGGAACAGCACAGAATCCTCTGAGTGATGTACATCAGTTTCAGTCAAAGGCACTTCTGTCCTCACAGCACCCATTGATCAATGATTTTTTGTATTTGCTTTAGGAGTGGAGCATTGTCTACTTAAGGCAGAGAATACTGACTCCTATTTCTTACAAGTTACTCAGCACCAACACTGAACCTCCCACTAAAAAACCTCGACCCAACAGAGTTTGATAGTTTAGCATCTCTAGACACACAAAAGTCTAACACGTGCTTGCCCTTCTTTTCTTCAGAACTGGAGATGAAAACCAAGAATGAACAACTGTGAAATGTGTTCAACATTAAAGAACTTGCAAGCAGCCGAAGTTTATAGCCAGACTGTATCCTTCCTTTGAGAAGGAAAAAGAGCCAACTGGCAAGTTGCTTTACCTGTATTTTATGATAGTCTATCAAAGAGCTTGAAATGACCAGCTTTGTTTGATTCAGATGAAAATATATGAAACACTTCAGCACTTGTAAAAAGCTCATCAGCTGCCTTGAAAGTAGAAGGGAAACATCAACTTCTCTTGTACTTGCTGAGACTGAAAGGTCTAAGGTCTTAATCACTTTCTTCAAACAAAAATTTCAGAAAATGTTCAGCTGACCTAATAAAGATGCTGTACAATATTAGAAAATCAACTTCTATTCAAGAATAAGCAGTATTTAAACAAAACAAGATGACCAGAGGAAAGGAGGAAATAACAGAAGATGACAAAGCCACACAAAAGCTTGATGTGTCTCACATGACTCAAGGTACGATGGACTCTGGACAGGGAACGGCAAGGACAAGAGGGATGCTCTGGGACAACCTTCAGGGAGATTATTTGCAGCAGCATGCCAAGAGAAGATCTACAGTCCAAAGTCATCAATTGCTGTTTATATGAATATTTCTGTGGTTAATCAGGACAATTCAATACAAGAAGTCAAAGGAATTTCAGGTACTGTAAAAAGCCACAAGGCTGAAGGAATGATCTAGCAAGTGTTCTGTGCCCTTCAACTTCGTATTTATGTCTGCCCTTGTATCTGATGCAAGAGCAATGAACTCTACTTACTTCTGAAATGATCCTTTGTACTTTTACTTACACCTCAAAACAATGTAGTTTAAGACTGTCTCATTTCTTACATGGTACCTTCCACATTAGCCTGCAAAGTCTCTGTGACATTTGGGTCTAGAGGGACATTTCTGGAAAAACATTAATATTCACTCCTACTATACTTCTAAGGGAGCAAGATTAACTGAAATAATTACACAAAATATAGCAGAGGGAGGAGCTAAACCCAGAAAATATTTAAAGAGAAGAACACAATAGATTTTATTACCTTTTTATTGACGTGACTGAATAAACAAGAATGTAGCCATTGATGTCTATGGAGTACGTCTGAGGAAATATGGAGTATTCATCCTGTGGAAGGAATATTGCATTTAAAATTAAGGGTGCCACAGTTCAGACCTTGATGCCATCAGATCACCATCAGGTAAATTGGTCATATCTCTACGACATTTTGTATAGGTAGAATTTTAAGAATTTTTTCATCATAATGTCACATGTGGCATCTTTACCAAACCAAGTGAAAGCTGTAAGTCTATGTGTATGCTCTACAGTTTAATCTACAGCTTTTATGGTTTATTCCCTCTAAGACTATGGATGAGCTGAAGCTCTTCCCAATCCTCTTATCCTGCTTAATTATCCCTTTGTATTAGGACAAAACATCCACTCCGTCCCACCACTAATTAGCAATTATGCCTCTTATCTTGCTGGTGATACATTTCAAAATCTTAATTTCAACAGCTGACAACAGGATTTAGCAGTTTGCAATTTCAAGTGACACTGATCACATCTAAATTACCTAAGGAATCTGGTAAGAAGTGAATAATTAGTGGCTTACTAACTAATGCTCATCAAACGCAAAAAACACAGTTATTAGTTGCTTTATGACAACTGAAAGTTACATTATAGGACAAGTGTTTACATAAATAAAAAAACAGGCAAAACCACCAGAAACTTTACTCAGTGAATTTATTACCCCTCTAGAAAAGGACCGACCAAATACGCAAACAAAACAGACTGACATACTGCAGGTAAAGCAACACAAATACTATGGATCCAATGTTAAAAACCTGTTCCAATAGAAATTCCCAGGAAACATTTCCATTTTGACAAGAGCCATACTTCCTAATGTATGAGTTCTCAGATTGTTAAACCTATGCTTTGGAAGATGTTAATTTTAGCTGAAGATCAAACCTCTCTGTTATTGTCATGGCTGAACAGATGGAGCAGTGCAATCACACAGCTTAAATCTAGACAGCCAAAAGGAATCAAACTTTCCTTACTGGCAGAAGAGGAAAAACTCTTTATAAATCAACTTCACAGATCCAGCCAAAAAAAGTTTGAAAGAATAACACTTGGCAAAAGCTGCCCTCATCTGCCTTTATTGCTACACACTGAGGGCAGCCCTCCCCGATCTCCTCTGAAATGCCAAAGTACCACTCCAGTTGGATGTGATGTCCCAAAGTCAATACAGAAGAGATCTGAGCTAAGTCTGTGTAAAAAAGGTGAAAGTGCAACTCTGTAGTGGCTTGACTTTACCTGGAATTTCCCAGGACTGCCCCAGCTGGAATTTGGTGTTAGGTAAGATTTCCTTTTACACCCCTCTTCTGTGACTCTGTATCAAGACCCCTGTTGAATTGTACTGCATAAAGCTCAGTAAATAACCAGGAAAATAAAGAGGCACAAGACAGAGGAGGAATACCAAGAAAACTAAGTGCCCTAATCTCAACTCAGCCTAATTCATGACTTTATTTTTAGCTTTTTGGGAGATGGAAGGAAAGCTGCTATGCTCACTGCAACTTATGGGTCAAATTAAGAAATTTGTCAAGTGATAAAATAATGTTGCTACAATTTTTCAAGCCATAGCCAGGTTTTCAAAAGTATGTAACAAATCTGCAATACAATTCTTGCTGTGCTGTATACATATGAAGACTCCCTATAGGCCATTAAGCAAAACAGACTTGAGAAATAAATCTGTCCAAGCCACGCCTTCCATAACCCAACATCATCTCTCCCCTCTAACCCTGTGTGCCAGAAATCAAAGTTCAAATCGTTCCATGAAGAATTAAATCTGAAAATAACCACAGGCTGGGAAAAAAGCTGTTTAGGTTCCACAATACTGTATAACTTTAAATCAATCCTCAGCAATAGAGGTATGTTAGTGGTGAGTCACAGTGCCTTCCCAAAAGGCAATTTCCTCCTCAAAGAGGAATTTTTCTTTTATCACTACGCTATACAATTGGAGCTGTAACGCAAGTGCACTTACAATGGCAGTGAGTGACACCTATGGAGCTCATTCTGCTGCTCACACTCCTCAGCTTGCCCCTCTCTCACCCTCTCCTCAGCAGAGCATTCCCAATCCAGCAATCCTGCTCCAGGACATGTGGCTGGTGGTGTGCTCAGACACCTCTGAGTGATTACACATGTTGCTGATAAGCACCAAGGGCTGACACCATATAAATACAGCACGACTATTCCCCAGTCACACAGCTCTCTTCCAAGAAAGCAATCAAACATACCTAGAAAGCTCCAACCCCTCTGAAGAGTCAGTTATGAGCAGGCATCCTGCAGCTTTAAAGCTTTAAGTACTGGCAGAGTATTTTACAACACTAACATTGTTTAACACTGCTGATGGTTTGGAAAAACCCAAAGGCATAGTATGAGATCATGGAAGGCAAAAGCATGTAAGCAAAAAAAAAAAATTAGTATAAAAATACAGGGGTTTAGTGGTCCCTGATGAGTTTTTTTTCCCTAATATAGTCTTTCAAATAATGCAGCACTCTCGTGCATGGGTTCAGCCAAGCAGCACTGTGTAATGAACACCTGTACCTGCAAATAATGACCACCTGCACTTCCCAAAGCTCCCCAGCATGCTGCAGGACACCTGCTCCCTGTCATTATGTGGAGCTTGGACACACACGTGAACCATCATGTTAAAATGCAGACAAACTGCAGCAGTTTATTGGTAACTCAGTAAGTACCACCTACATGAATCTGTCTGCTCCCCATGACTGCTCCATGGATACAAGTCATGGTAGTGTAGCTGGAGCAGACAAATATGAAAAAGCCATGAAAAATTTCCCCAGGGTTTACTGAAGCGCCATTTTTCATCTAAAGCAACACTGCTCATTTACTCTCTAAATATCACACAAGCTACTGAAGAACTTTTAGGACATCAGAGTTAAGGTAGTTTCCTCTTCCCTTTTTTAGGCACTCATTCAATAGATAGGGAAAAAAACAAACAACCCAGTAACAAAACACAAACCAAAACCTTTAAACACTACAGAAAACGTTCTTTAGCGTCTAAATAAGTCAGGATCATTTTTAACTTTCACCTCTGAATGCACAGTCACTACCAACTTAGCTCAACAGGAGCATGAATACCTGTTGTCATAACTAGGAATAAAGATTCAAAGAAAGATTAACTTACCTGGCCAGCAGTGTCAACCAGCTGAAGATGATATTCTTGGCCATTTACTGTGATCAGTTTTGTAAAAGCTAGAACAAACAAGAAACACATAATCAGGTCAGAATTACACACAAGGAAGAGATTAGAAGTCACTTGTCCATGCTATCATCAGCCAAAGCATGAAGAAAAAGAACTCCAGTTAGAGGTTTTTAAATAGCAATAAAAGGTTGATCAGGTACTGTACTTTTAACTAGTCTATTGCAGATAGAAAAACTCAGAAATTTAATTTAAGATTTGAAATTTCAGATGATTCTCACACTGGATGCAGCAGCTTCTTATTTGCTCTCTTAAAAAGAAAGAGGGAATAAGAGGAATAAAAAGGGGGATTTCCATGCATTTTTACAAGATCCAGACAAACGTAATTTGTGGTAACACAAGACACTTAAATTCAGTTGGCATCAAAGCTAAGTTTGAACTTATTATAGGATCTTTTCCTTGCTTTCCAAGCAGTTTAGCAAGATAAATTTCCTAAATGCAAATACCATGAAGTAAGTGATCTGGACTGAAAAAAGGAAAAATCTTTGGGGGCTAAAACACACAGAGAACTTATGATTATATTAAACCTAAATGATGACAATTAGCTAAGTTCACCATGTTACTTTCACATTTGCTGTAGCTACCAGCCTATGCAGTCCCCAGTCACGAAGTACATTCAGTTCCTAAAAGTCCCTGAAAGTGATGAGAATTGCGGCTCTTCATTGGATTCATGAAATGCCAACGCGCTGTGAGCTGAGGAATCTTACTCAGTGTTTGTGTTATGCAACTGCAAAAGCAAACAGTGTCACAGCTCTTGCAGGAATAATGGCCCAACCAGAGCACAAAAACTTGGCTCTGGACGTCTCGTGTGGCCTTCAAGACACACTCCAGATGGCATTGCTGGCCACTACTGATACACTGAGTAAAGTCTGTGTTATCCTCTAGTTGGGGTGGTTTTCCCAACGAATAACAGTCCTCAGAAACCTCATCTGTCACTGCAGTGATGAGCAGAGAAACAGAGTCAGATGAACAGGGCACTTAGGTGAGCTGAGCTGGACAACAGCTTCCCACAGCTGCACAGCTGAACGTTCCTGACCCCGCTGTGCAGTCCTTGCCCACGCCTGAAGTTGATGGAGTTGGCCAACTTTCCTCCTCCCAGCCAAAGCTCGTCGCTCTGTCAAGTCCCCACAATGTGAGCATTATCTTGAATAAGTGGGCTGAAATAGCTGAAACTGGAGGTTTCAACCCACCTCATAAATTCAATCCTTGAAAAAAAGGAGCAATTCAAACAGCAAAGCCAAGTTAAATGTCTAAATTAAAACTAAGTGTCTAAATCAATAATAGTGTAAAGTGTACCTGTAGTTTCCATTACCACATCAGCAAATGACATTTGAAACGGAGCCTCAAAGACAGCACCTGCCTTACCCTGGTTATCATCTAAGATAGCTGCTTTAGCACACGTACTGCCCTCAAATCAGTCTGGATAATGTTGTTATCACTGCACAAAAGTTTTAGATTATGAAACACAGATCCACAACAGCTCTTTGGCTTGGATGGATGCTGTGATGAGGACAAACTGTTTGAACAGATGTTAGCAGGCAGCATTGCTATATACAATATCACTGCTTGGAGTCAGAGGGAAAACAGACTCCTCTGGAGACACACTGCATTTACAGGTGTGTTCAAGTAACAGCCTCCCCAGTCTCTTGACACTTCACATACACATCAAAGCACTCTGCAGTCAAAGTAGCTTCAAGGGCATCATGAAGTTAATATTTAAAAAGAGACAGACGGCAGTTTTCTCAGACTATTCTAGAAGCCTAGAAGAGACACAGCAACAATGTCATCATCATCATTACTGAAAGCAGAGTGTGACAGAGATAGAAGGGAAACAGTGAAGGAGTCACCACAGCCTGGGAAGGAGAGCTGTGAGTGCAGTGCAGAGCCTTGCAGCACTAAGCACAGCCCACTGTGTGAAGACAAATCTGCTTTGATGAAGTCACAGCTAATGACTTCCATTTCTTTGCTGAAGCTTTTAAAAACACTCCTGGTTAAGAATTTAATTTTGTGAAAAACCTGGTCCCCTTGATCCAGTCAAAGTGTTCACTTCCAATTCCATTACCTATCACCCTGGGACATCTGCTGTGCTTGTGCACAAGACAAACAACAATATGATGCCTGCACAATTTGCCTCTTCCTAATAGGCCAAGGACACTTTTCAGCAGACCTGACCTGACATTAAATCATAATGTGAGCATCTCCAAAACACTGCTCATCAACTGGAACATGGATTTTTGGAACAGTACGCTCTTATACCTTCCAACACAACTCCGGTGACCACCACTACCTGAAGATCAAGTACATTGAAATTAGACCAGCATGAATGAAATTATTTGAATGTGCAACTCAGTGACAGCTGCTGTGGAAACAAGCCATTATGATGAAAAAAAAAAAAAATCCCAAACAGTAACAGGCAAAGAAATGCAGGCCTTTAGATCAATAGTGATACCAAGGAAAGGTACAGGAGTGATGTAACATCATTGCCATAATCTGGCTGGTAACTAAATACAACCAATTTGCAAGGGTTCCTCAGTTACCACCTCCTGCGTCCCTTTCTATTTGCCTTCATTCCAAAGTCAATGCCTGCCACTAATCTACCAGGACATCTTTTAAAACACTGAGATGGTGTGATGCAACAGAGCTATTTTTAGTTTTCCTCAGAAGCCTCACTTGCACCCCTTGGAAGGCTGCTCACCAGCAGCTCCTGAGAAGCACAGTTCACCCTTCCAGTGCAGTTGCCAAGGCACGTGTAGGAATTTAGCCTTGAAGATTCTCTGTCCAACTCATCTAAACCTAAAAGTGCCCCAAACACAACCAGTAGGGTTCCTCCAGCCTCCTGCCCCTTTCTATTATGCTTCTAGTCACATTTGTATTAAAAAACATGGGATGGAGGTAGGAAGCATGGGGGAAGATGTTCCTTTCCTTAGGGAGTTAGTGAGGCCATTTAGGGGAGAAATTAAGATCACAGAGCTGTGAAACAATGCTAGATGGCCCTCTAAAATAGCAACAAAAATTAAAAAGCAGCCAGGCAGGCTTTGGAGGACATATTTGACACCTGGCCAATCAAGTAATCTTACTTGCAACACAAGACATCCCTGGAAAGATGATGTGAGTGGAGTTAAGTGTACATCATCACCCATTCCTTCTGACCCATGTGAGTTTCAAATTCAGGTTCTAGCTTTCACTCTTGTAAAACTGTTGCATTTTAATTTGCACCGGTCCTAGTTCATGGGAGTTGATCTGCCTGCAAAGCCCCATCCAGCCCAGTGTCCACACAGACTCCCTGCACATACTCCTGCTCTCCAAGGATCTTTTTTCTCTTTCCAACATTCCTGCAAGGAGTAGTTCCACTCACTTCTCAACCTGACTGTCTCAAGAATGGTCGCCCATTGAGATGTCACTCCTGTCGGGACATTCTGACAGGGAAAGTCTCTTTCCCCAAGCAATTATCTCTCACCTCCAGCGCTGTCACAACAGGATACAAGTTACTCTTCCTGACAGGTTTAGAAGGAGCAACTGAATTCAAGATGCTCCTTAACTGAAATAAATTAACTTTCTGGTGCTAATGTAATATAAGCAAAGAAAAATGTAGCAGCAAAGCTGTCCTAAATTTCACAAACACTAAGCAAAATCTGATGCACTTTCTTTTCCTTTTATCACTTCCAAAGGCAGAGATTTTCACCCTTAAAACCTGAAATTTCTACAATATTAGGTCTTACTCCTGTTGCTCAAAGCCTATAAACTACACAACTTGTTCCTGTAAGATCTTGACTACAGCTTGCCTTACATACAATTTAGCTTTGCAGTCAACATTTCATGCAAGTTTTATTATTTGAAGACAAAAATGATAAAGATTGTGTTACCAGCAGTACTGCAGCTTTCTACCCTTTCTTCACTGCTGGTAGAATACGGTAACAAATTATCAACAACAATTTTCTGGAGACAAAACAGAAAGCACATAGGTCAGACTATCCTTTCCCATGTATACTTTTCATGTCCAAGTTGTTTTAAACATGTAGACCCAACCACTAGATGAAACTGAAAAGGTTTTACAACTTATTATAATGCCCTGGAAAAAGGCAACATTCTCCAACACTGTCCCTAGTATAAGAACCTGGACTTTAAACCCTTTTTGCCAATGTTGTCCAGCAAATGTGAAATCACAAGCTAGGAAAAGTCTTAAGAGTTGATCACGTACTTTGCATCTTATGACCCTACACAGAATCAGAAACACAGCTGGGAGTGTCCAAAGATTTCACTGAACAAAGCTTTATAGTTAGGAAAAAAAATTAATGTATTACATTCTTAAATCAAAATAATTATTTTAAATTTCAGTGTTAAATTAGAATGTATTCTCTTGTCTGTTTTAAAATATTATCTCCATCAGGCATTCTGGGGCTTAAAGATGGCACAGATTTCCCACTGTTTTGAGCCCCAGGGCATAAGTTATCTTTTCAACATTTACTTCCCAGCAACGTTTTCTCATGTCAGAAGGACCCTTCAATTCTCTACCTTTCAGAAAGCAAATTCCTCCAGCCATGCCACAGATCACAAGACTTACACCAAATGAATAATGTTGTTTGTTTTCCAAACAAGAAATCAAATGAGAAGTTAAGGCTTTTCAAGATCCCCCTCTCAACAAGTCTTCATGGCCAGGACATGCTCAATGCTTAGAACTCAGATCAAGCAAACAATGCAGACTACGAGAGACAAGAGCAAAATTCATCTAGAGTTTATTTTTGTATAGTTCAGAAATGCTGAAGTTGTGAGACACACAACTACAGAGTTACAAACAGCAGCTACAGACAACAGATAAAGGATGAAACAAGACAAATCTTGTACCAACATGTCAAAATCCTAAAACAAGACACAGGTTCAGCATTTTGTAAAGACTTTGACTCTGTGTCTCTCAATCTTCACTCATTCACATGTAGCTGCATAAAACTAAAAGATTACTTTAAATAATTTGCACTTATATGGCACAGACAGTGAAAAATAAGCTGCCCCAAGTGACACTAAATCCCAGTATTTTGCTAGCAGCTTTAATTCAAGACATACACGATTTATAATTCAAGCCAAGTGAAAAAGGATGATGGAAAGTTAGTATTAATGACATCTGTATAGGAGCTAACATTCAGACCAAGGGCCAAAGTATCCACTCTGACTTGCTAAAGCAAATTTAGTTTCTCAAAAAGTAGCATTTGAATTTCAGTTCTAAGCAATAAAATAATCCCAAGTAAAACATCCTGATAGCTACTGATTTGTAATTATATACCATATAAATATATATTTTCAAAAAAACCCTTGTTCTTCTGATTGCTTCATTCAAACTTCCAGAGTATCACATAGGCTTAACATCATCCTGCTGCAGGAGTTCAAAACACTGAATATTTGTGCTAGACCACTGCATTTCAGAAGTCATTAAAATACAAGAACCTCAGAGCCACGATCATGAAACCACTTTTATTTGCCACATGACTAAAGTAAGCCAACATGATCACGTTACTCAGCCCAGCACTGCAGTTGTTCAAGTACTTTATGGCCACTGCTAGCTCAGAAAGAGGTGGCTGGATTGTAATGAATGCCAGGTAACCTCTGAAATGACTTTTTGCTCTTGGCAGCATTTTTAGCATTAGCGTCTTTACTCACCTGCTATGCCAGCTACTCACAAAGGTACGAAAATTATTTTTAAAAAAACTGATAAGAGAAAAACAAAAGCACTTGAGATGTCAAATACCCAGTATTTGCAGTAAGTTGACTGTGTACCAGCCTTGTTATCCAGCTGCTGGAAAGGAGTAAAAGGAGTAATTGAAAAGATTATCATGTTATCATAGCCACATAGTCTCCTTTCTAAGATAGTGGTTTAATCTTGATGGGTATTGCTGGCTTTCTGTTCATCTGGATATACTGATCCTATGTGAGACTGGAGTACTTCAATTTGGTGGCATGTTTTCATATGGTGTGATGTAAGGAATTTAAAGTGCCCCAAGCGCATGAGGGGAAGCAGATGCTGAACAACACACAAAGTACAAGGAGGTGAATTTTAGCCAGATTCATTAGATGTCCCTTTACTTAGTGTTCAAAGTTCAGCTGTTAGGTGAAATATCCACACAGTGATTTCCATGCTGCAACAATGCAGCATTGGTTTAAAAGAGTAATACAACTTCAGTGGTAATTAATGGACTTTAATGTTAATATGCAAATACCCACATAAGTAGTATGTATAACCCCAATGGCTTCTGATACAAGTTAGTTTGATACAGAAGAGGAGCTTGGCAGTTATTTACTTACTGTTCTCTATGGTTGGATCATATGAATCAACAAACTGTCCTTCCACAAACTGAATCGTCAGTGAAGATTTTCCTGTAAAGCAAAGGAAAGAAAAATCTGGAATGAAACAAAGTCTTCAGGTTGTTATCACTTCACTGCTTACTAGTAGATACACCAATTTTCTATCTAATATGAGCTCCGTGTGGTTTGTTTAAACTATCTATACATGATAACTGACCTATTTTTAATTTAAGTGCCTATTTCTAGTAACTGGGTCTCCTGAACATATAAAAAGCAGTGCAAAAGCTATTTGGCATGTGTTCTACTTTTGTTTTAACAGGGCATAATTTAAATGATTCCTCCAGCTAAAAACAAATCTAAAAGCAGCAGTGCACAATCCTCATAGAACTAAATTTAACAAACTGATACAGTTGGAACGTTTTTCTGTCAAGAAGCAAGTAAAATTCAAAATTTTCAGTAACCACAGAGGAAACTTGGATAGAATTAGCCAAATTTGCTTTTACTAGGAGACTGGACAGATTTCCCATAACAAAAGCATGATCTCAAAATTCTTGAGACCGATATACTCTCCTGTTAATCCTCCTACTGCCACAACAGACCAGTGGATGCCGTATTTTAAGCAGTGACTGAGGTGGCATAATTGGATTTTTCTTTAAAGCAATTTAACTGCTACTTTAGCAGACAACATTCTCCATTTCACTTAAAGAGTAATGCAAAGCACTGAACTTAGTAGCAGACTGAAAAAACGTTTAGTCTTGAAAGGTTTTACAAGATGGTGAATCACATACATTGACCATAAAAAGCACCTTTAAAGCTCTGCAACTGAAGACTTCCCAAAGCATTACTGAAGCCTTAACACAATTTCCATTACAGCATATCATCTACATTTGGGAATCTCCTAGATCCTATTACATTATGTTTACTGGACAAATACCCTCTTACAAAGATTGCCAAGTGCATTAGATACTTTTGGACACGAGAACATTCTTCATGCTCCTTTATCTCTTTTCATCGTCAAGAAGCACAAACAAAATACAACCTCAAAATTTTGACTCAAAACCATCAGACTTGTTGGAAACCTCTCAATGACACCTTAAGTAACCAACATTGTGGTGGAAATATACAATACCATTGTTTTCAAGAATAAATTGCTTTGGGTAAAAACTGCCCACTTCCAGTACTCAGAAAATGTTCTTTCCTAAGCATTCCTTCAGGAGATAGTAAAAAAAAAAAAAGTCTTCCATTTCATTCTCTGCCATGCTTACACCCTTGCTGTCTCCTAACAATCATGACAGTTTATACAAGAAACAATGCTAAAAAAAAAAAATCCAGACAAACCCCTCAAAGACCAAGCATCACCAAGATTTTATCGAGTTGCTTTTTCTAAAATCAAGTTCTTAAGTTACATTTTCTGGTCTTATCTAACACCACAACTGGAGGTGTCATGCTCACAATGCATGAGTTGACAGAGGACATTTCACTCGAAACTGTGTGTGCGCACACACCCCACCTCCAAATCATCCTAATAAAGTCAGATTAAGATTGAAATTAAGATTGAAACTGTGCCTCCCAGGAACTTTCTGAAACTGTGTATTTTGGACACCATTTAGAAAGTGAGCAAATTTTCAAGCTATTTCTCCTTTAGCTATAAATTTATGAAGTTGCTACCCAGAGTTCATGTTCCCGGAGTCTTTGCCAATACCAGCACATTAAGCACTCCATTTTAAAAAAAGGTTAACTACCTCTATATTAGGCTGTTAGATCTTCAAGGTAAGAGAGTTAAGTTCAGTAAAATCATCACTGAAATTTTTTCCTCCTAAGGATTCTGAACTAACTGAAAGACTTGACTGCTGCCGTCTGTCTGTGCTAAGCCTGGAAACTGAATAGCAGAAAGAAGTCAAAGCCAACAGAAAATGCTGCATTTCACACCCAGATGTATTAATTACTGCTTTTCTCCTAACAGTGAAAGAGGAGGAAACAGACAAAACCAGTGTTCCAACACTCTCCTCCTAAATTCCTCCAAGCTTTATAACAAGCCTTTCAGTAATGATGTGTTCATGCTCACAAGAGGAAGCCTGCTTTCTTCCATGAGACACAGGTAAACTCTCCTGTCTGGAATTCAACACCCAACCCCTTGGGGTAAGTGCAGGCAACTGTACCCCACTAAACCAAGGCTTCCATGGACATGAGAAATCTAAACCCTGAGTCATTAACACCCAGCCGCCCATGTGTCTCAGCCCATGAGCAAGCAGAAGGCAGAATCCTGTGACCAATAGGTTGGCTTGAACTTTGTCCCACAGGGTTTTATTCCAGGCCTTTGACCTATGCTCGTGGACAGAGCGGAAAATCAAGTTGACAATTTAGCTCCTATCTGCTCTTGCCCCAGAAAGATCAGGCAAGGCTTTCAGCAAGGATTGCAACACAAACACAACGTCCGTGAGGCCAAGGGACTGCACGCAACCACGCCTGCCGATGTGCCAGCTCCATCTCGGAGCACGGCAGGGAAGACGCAGCTGTCCAGATGTGCAGGCACCACGGGCACATTTCTGCCTCAACAGCAGAGAGAAGAGAGTCTGACACCAGCAGCAAAAGCTTGATTAGCTGATTACTCAAGGGTGCACACCTTGAAGAGAGGCTCAGCTCCAACGTGCCCTCCTTTGGAATAAAGCCACACATTTTTGCAGTTCACTAAGCTGCTCCTTGTAGCATCCTTCACACTGGTAAATTCAACAAATCCACTGTATTCAAGTCTTAGGAAAATAAACATCCACTGAGACCAAAAGGAGAAGGGAGCTGAAGCAAGGCTGGAAGCTGGGTGCAGAGCCTTGCTGTGGTAACTCAAAGCACCAGATACTCAGTGGCAGAGTTGGAAGCAAAATTCTCCAAGTTTAATGACTCTCCCTCTGCCTGAAGGAATGGGGCAGAGGGAAGGGCTGTAAGAAATGTGTTTCATGAGTGTTTAGAATACAAGTCCCAGGTGGCTGAAAACTCAGCTCAAGTTGTCCAGAAGTACCCAAAGTGTATTTGCATACACAGTTCATTATTTATGGTATTATGTAATGTGAGAGTGGTAACGAAAAGAGTTTTCCACTGTCAAAACAGAAAAGGAGCACATTTTCACAGAGAAAGCCAGTTCAAAAACTAAAGCTGTTGTGTTTCTGTTCATACACTAGACCACTTGCACCATAAAGCAGAACATCCCATAAACACTCTGACTAGTGCAATCATAGCACATCAGTTTCAAATGCCAGTGCAATTGTCAAGGCAAAACAATTGCCAAATTGTGTTTTACTCATCCTTTTACTACTTGGACAAGAGCTGTGGTATTTATAATCCAGCCTTAAAATTCAAGCTTTACAACACTAGGCAGTTTACCAAGCAGATGAGTAACAGAGCCTAGGTGGGCTCAGGGACAGCTGGTCTCCCCAAAGAGGTCACAGATTCTTCTGTGCACCACCACCTGCCTGCTGCCCCCATCTCACACCCTGTTCTCCTTGCAACAGGCTGGGGAAAAGCCCAGATTAAACTCTCATTGGCAGCCAAATTCTCCCCAAACCCAGGAGACAAAAATGATGCAACCAAGCATCGAGCAAGTCCAACAACAGCTCCACAAGCAGGGCATTGTGCAAGCAGGGCTGCACAGCTGCCCTCGGACGTGGCACGGCCACGGGCAGCACAGTGCAGCTTATCTCAACAGGAAGGGTTTCTCAATCCTTGAAACTGCCCACACAAGCCATCAGTAAACAGTTTGTCCTGCTCAGGAACAACAACTACTGAGGAGCTGCAGTTCTGCTGGCAGTGTAGATGCAGTTTCTTTAGCTCTTAAATATTTTGCTATTAAAATGCACAATTATGTAGTTGCCATAATCAATAAACATTTAACTGCTGGCAGCATCTCATCCACTCCTACCACAAGCCTTGAGCACCTTACCTAAGATAGTCTCTAGACTAACTTAGTAATTAGACTTACCTACTTAGTCTCCTTAGACTCTCCTTAGGTCTACCCAGTCTTGCCCACAGAACAAACTACTTTGGGCTTTGTCACAAAAAACACTCAACAAATTTCATAATGAAATGTTGTCACACATGTCAAATTAGGTAAGTGTGACTGCACACTCAAATTCCTACACTGCACAGAGATGAAGTTTTCATACCAAAAGAGACACTTCATTTAACTTGAACGTTGGTATCTTCATCTTCTTTAATTCACAATACCAAGATGCACAAAATGGAGACACTGGCATTTCCATAGTGCAGATTATCTATTCATCCTCAGAGCACAGAGCGCGACTGAACGACTTCCTGGAGCCGATGGAGGTTGGCTGGGTAGCAAAGAGGATTACAGCATCCCTCTTTGACAAAGATCTTCTCACAAGATCGCAGGCTATCTCAGAACCCATCACTAGCTCATCATTCATCTCAGGCCACATCATTAGCAACTTTCTATGCTTAATTAAGATACCCCCCTAGGTACTAATTATGGCTGTGTAGTTGCTGTTTTGCTGATCATTGCTTTGTATTTGGTGAATTAGTCTAATGACTATAAAAATGATACATCTGTGTTAATAAAGAATTCTGTTTCTAAATCTATAAAGACAGCAATACAATGAGTAATTTGTGTTTTACTAAGATGCAACTTATTTCTACTATTAGACTTCTAATTGTGAGGAATTATATAAACATCTACATTGAGCTGTAGCTTTATACGTTATTGTAGTGATTTCCTTGTGATGCTAGCATTACAGTAACAGGATTAGAAAATTATTTTCTGATGCTTAGAGACAAAACTCTTCCTCAGTCCCTGCAATGAGCTCAATTCCTGCACTTGCTCATGATATTCATGCCTGATTTACAACACAGTGGTGGCACTCCTCTCAATGTGCTCTCTGAGCTTTCTGGAGGACACACTAAAGATTGCAATTCTGTAAGAGTGAAAGTTGGAGAACCTCAATGACACACCTTTTGGTAATTGATAAGGAGCCTCAAACACTGCAGAACCCTTTAAGACAAACCAAAGACCAAGTCAGCTTTTCAGGACAACAGAAGTTCTTCTTTAACTTCTTTGGCAATCTGTCTCATTGCTACAATTGTTCCCTGCCTGCTCCTGTCCTGTATTTTTTTATTAGAATATAAGGAAATATATTTGAAGTCCAAGGCAAGGTTTTGTAGCAAGAACTATTTCCGTTGTAAAAGAGGAGTTTCACGTGATGGTCTGTAACACCAAGAGCATGAGCCTCCTGAAAGATGCTTGTTTCCCTTCCTTCTGCATTGCACAATCTTCTTGAGGTTTATCAAAGATATTCCTCTGCAAGCCAGAGGAAATCTGAGAGCAGTCATTTAGAAGCAAGCCACATGGTTTCCTTTATTTTCTTTAGATTTCAAAGCAATCAGTCACAATCACAAGAGTACTTGCAGGCCCTTGCTAGGTCGGCAGCAATAAGCCTTCTGAACACAAGCCAAGAGTCCTAATGCTATCTAGATCATATTTCCTGTAAAGAAAGCAAGAAGAGAGCATGTGCTTATTTTCCCTGATATTTAGCAGCAGGCTTGTTCCATCCTACAGCAGTGCTCATCCCTCAATGCTCACTTAAACTGTGTTGCAATGTATTACATGTCCAAGCAAGTATGTAGAGAAAAATTCCACTGCATTCCTGCAACAGCTTATACTTCCAGGCAGTCCATTTTTTGTCTCCAACAAGGTCAGTAACCACAGCAAAGGATTGTCAAAAGAGGTCTTTTAGTTACTTTAGCACACAGTCCAGTTACCTCTGCTTGTTACCCCTGCTGGCACAAAAGCAGAGGGCTGCAGCTTTCCTCCTGTTTCCCTTTTAATAAGCTAAATGCATTTTAATTCCATGTGTTTACTGTCAGTTTTGAAAGATGGGAAAAGCTGTTATAAAGCTTAAAAAAAACCCAAAAGCCAAAACAACTTCTGTGGCATATACCTCACCTGACCATGGAATGTATGCATACCTGGCTGCATGCAAGATGCTTTAATGAAGTATGGGGAACTGCATCCTGGTGTTCCTTAACTGCAGAGGAAATTCAGACATTCATATCCCAGACAGTTAACCTGTATTTTCTCAGATAAATACCATCCTCTCTATTTTCCCTTCATACTTCCTGCAGAAACTGTGCATCCCTGCAGCACCTTCCCACAGAACAAGGCTTAAAATATTTCAGGTGGCAGCAGGAATTCAATGGCCTTGGTAGGTGGGCAGCAAGCAACTTGAGTATACAAGCATCACTTGTATATTCTTTTACCTTTACTATCATTTACCTTTCCTTTTCTGTCCTATTAAACTGTCTTTATCCCAATCCCATTTTATCTTTTTCCCTAGCTGTGTCCTCAGTCCCACTCTGGGGAGTGAATGAATGGCTCTGTGTGGTGTTCAGCTGCCCAGTGGGTTAAACCATAACAACTTCCTAAAAGAAAGTTTATTAAAGATCAGACTCTAACATTCCAGTTTATGACATACCTAAAGGTAAAGAGCCTGAAATTTGTACTGACTTCCTCTCCAAAGGGGCAAAATTCAAGTTCTACTGCTGGGTATAATCCAAGCCCTTTCTCTCCATACACACACTTCAAGCAGCTCATTAGGTGTTTGAATAAACTTGACCTTTCCTTGGATCATTGGATATGTACAACATGAAATGAAATGCCTTTGAAAAAAGATCC